TACACTGAGTCATTGCACCAAAAAGAATTGATCCACGTTCAACCATTCCAGGAGGTAGCATATCATCAAAAATCAATGGTACTGAAGGAAAAAGTTCAAGCTGCACTAAAGGCATTGGCAAAAAACAAGGCTCTAGGAGTTGACAGAATTCCAACTGAGATGTTTCAACAGATGCAGTGCTGGAAGTACTCACTGGCCTATTACAAGAAAATTGGAAGACAGCTACTAGGCCAGTCACTGGAAGAGAACCATATTTGTGCCCATTGCAAAGAAAGGTGATTCAACAGAATGTGGAAATTATCAAACGGTATCATTAATATCACATGCAAGTAGCAGTTTACAGAAGATCATTCAAAAGCAGCTACACAAGTACATCAACAGGGAACTGCCAGAAATTCAAGCTGCATTCAGAAGAGGACGTGGAACGAGGGATCTCATGGCAGATGTCAGATGGATCTTGTCTGAAAGCAGAGAATACCAGAAAGTTGCTTACCTGTGTTTTATTGACTATGCAAAGGCATTGAACTACGTGGATCATAACAAATTATGGATAACATTGCAAAGAATGGGAATTCCGGAACACTTAATTGTACTCATGAGGAAATTTGCATAGACCAAGAGGTAGCTGTGCGAACAGAACAAGGGGATACTGCATAGTTTAAAATCAGAAAAGGTGTGCTTCATGGTTATAACCTTTCACCATACTTATTCAACCTGTATACTGAGCAAATAATCCGAGAAGCTGGACTATATGAAGAAGAAAGTGGTATCAGGATTGGTGGAAGTCTCATTAACAACCTGCGATACACAGATGATACAACCTTGCTTGCCGAAAGTGAAGAGTCTTGAAGCACTTTCTGATGAAGGTCAAAGACTACAGACTTCAGTATGGATTGCACCTCAGCATAAAGAAAACAAAAATCCTCACAACTGGACCAATAAGAAGCTTCTTGATAAACTGAGAAAAGATTGAAGTTGTCAAGGATTTCATCTTCCTTGGATCCACAATCAATGCCCATGGAAGCAATAGTCAAGAAATCAAATGACATATTGCATTGGGCAAATCTGTTGCAAAAGACCTCTTTAAAGTGTTAAAAAGCGAAGACGTCACTTTGAGGACTAAGGTGCTCCTGACCCAAGCCATGGTATTTTCAATCGCCTCATATACATGTGAAAGTTGGACAATGAATAAAGAAGACAGAAGAAGAATTTCTGCCTTTGAATTATGGTGCTGGCAAGGAATATTGAATATACCATGGACTGCCAAAAGAACGAAAACATCTGTCTTGGAAGAAGTGCAACCAGAATGCTCCTTAGAAGCAAGGATAGCAAAACTTTGTTCCATATACTTTGGACATGTTACCAGGAGAGACCTGTCTCTGGAGAAGGACATCCTGCTTGGTAAAATAAAGGTCAGGGAAAAAGAGGAAGACCCTCAATGAGATGGACTGACACAATGGCTGCAGTGGTGGGCTTAAGCTTAGCTACAGTAGTAAAGATGATGCAGGACTGGGCAGCTTTTTATTCCATTGTAAATAGGGCCACTATGAGTTGGAACCAACTCAATGGCACCTAACAACAACAGCAATAAGAATAGGTAAACATTTAGAGATCAGAGTTTAATAGTGGTTACCAGAGGCAGAATGAAGGGTGATGGATGGAATTATTGTTGAGGAAGAATTGAGTTTTTGTTTATTGAGACAGAAAATTTGGAAAAGAATGTTAGTTATGGTTGCACGTGGTTGATGGAACTAATCTCACTGAATTGTACATGTGGAAAATGTTGAATTGGCAAATGTGTTGTCTATATTTTTACAATTAAAAATGCAAAATAAAAGTTATCTAGTAGATGTGGGTCCCTGTTTCCAGCTATGAATTTCTCAAGCGCTGCACACTTGAGTTTGCTTAATTCTCAATTTGAAGACAATTTTGTCTCCTTCCTGTTACACTTCCCTTTTTTTCTCAGTTAGGGAAAGAGATTTCCCAATCACTTTTATGAACTATAGCCGTACTTAGCTTATACTTTCAACCTCAGACTTCCTGTTAACCAACAGTAATATACCCACAGGACAGCAATGGCATGCTCTTGCAAGACTGTCATTGCTCTATCCCTACCTCAAGCACTCAGGGCTTTTCTAGTTCTTTTCTTAAGCTAGTATATGTATTAGTGGTGAGGGGATGGGCAGAGGGAGCAGAGGAATATATAAATGGAGGGAGGAAAAGGAGATGTTGCCTAATAGCTTCTGGCTTTGGTTTTACAAAATTCCAAGAGCCTACAGTTAACGTGCTCAGCTGTAAACAAAAAGGATGGTCATTTGAACCCACACAGAGGTGCCTAGGAAGAAAGGCCTGTAGATCTACTTCTGAAAGTTCACATTCATTGAAAACCCTATGGAGCACTATTCTACTCTGACACACATGGAGTCTTTATGAACTGACTAATTTTTAAAGAGATTATAAGTGCTTCAGAAAGAAATACCCAGAAAAAAGAGTGCCTAGTGTGGAGGAGATGGGACATGGAATGGAGGGAGTTAATTATGATAATTAAGAGAGGAATAGATGTCCTTTAGGAACTAGAAGAAGGTTCCCCTGGTCCTGAAGGGGAAAGGAGATAGAGGGTAGGTAATGAAAGTTGAGATGTACATGGGGTCCAGGGAAAGGGGGCCCAGCATGAAGCAGAAGCCCAGCTAGCTGTTTTCACATCCCAAGACTTAGGGTCTAATCTTACTTTCCAAGTAGAACTTGTTGGACCAAGAAAGGCCAAAGAAAGAATAGCTGTGTGGGGCTTCTAGGAAGGAACTATAGGGACTCAAAGAGATTTCTGGGTCCCAGCATGGATGAGAAGCAACAGAAAGATTCCTGTGACTTTCAGACATCAAAGGAATGCAGTATATAGAGCCTATGGACCTGCAGGGGCTATATGGGTAGGAACAAGGGATATTTTAAGGAAGACATGCATAGACAGTTGTATTAGAGTTAGATGACCACCAAAATTACTCCCCAGCCTTGACTCCTGGTCGCTACAAAACATTTTATGCTTTTGCAATCTACTGCAGGCAGACTAGATAAATGAGGAATTAACTTTCAACCTCTCAGCAGAATAGGATCTAATGAAAAGAAATTATCTTGTGTTAATGAAAAATAATGCTGTTTCTTGCACACCTGAGTTTACAGAGACAGCATAGAAAACTCTTTTGTTGCTTGATCAGTGATTCTCAACAGATTTTGCCCTCCAGGGTACATTTGGCAATATCCAGAGACATTTTTGGTTATCATAATGCAGGGAGTGGTGGTGGGAGGGATGGAGGACCTGGAGTGGTGATGCTCCTGTTATCTAGTGGGTAGAGGTCAGGATGCTACTAAACATCCTACAATGCCCAGGACAGCCTCCAGCAAAGAATTATCTGCACCAAAATGTCAGTAGTGCCAAGTATGAGAAACACTGTCTCTGATTATTGAACAGGATGTCTTACTGTTATGCCAGTCCTTTCTGTCCCACCCAGTTCAGAAGCTTGAAGGAACTGAGAATGTAACAACTAGTGGTACTAAGCTCAGAGA